ATTAGAAACAGTGCGTGGAAACTGAAAAATTTAAAAAAAATCTTTGAATTCCCAATTTAAGATATCAGGTAAATCAAAAACCCTTAAAAAAAAATAAGGGTTTGCCATCCAATGTAGATTCTGCTTAACAGAACTTTTTTGCTTAAGCATTTACATGACTTTTAGTGCTTTGAAATCAAATTTAAAAAATACACAAGTTATAAATACAGAGGAAAGAGCAATTGACCGAAACCTAACAAGGACCCCCCAAATTTTTCATATTCAGACAATGTGTAGATTTCAGTTCTGTCCTTGTAAGTTATTAGAAACAGTTGGAGGGGAAAATGATTCTCAAACTGTTTGCAGCTTTGTATTTATTACTTGATGTATCAAAGCTTATTTTCATTTAAAAAAAAAAAAAGGAGATCATCTGGAATTAATACATTAAGAGAAAAAAATAACTGCACTGTTTTCACATGTTTAAAGAGCTGTTATATGGCGATTTCTAACAAACCATGTATACCTTCACAGGAACAGGGCTAGAGGAAAAAAAACATATTAATAAGATTTTACTTTGACACAAAGAAAGGGTTTTGAATGGCAAAAATAAGAGACTGATAATAATATTAATACTCATTGAGCACACATATCATGTACCCCATCCTGTTTTGAGAACTTTACACATATTAACTTACATAAAGGATATAGGTACTATTATCCTCACAGGTGAGCTTGGACTTGAACCTCAGAGGCTCAGTTCTATACCCAGGCTCTTACCTTTTATGTTAAAACCACCCCTGTTCAAAGTGAGTTATCATTAGAACACACTCTTGAGAAAAGTTATGGTCTTTCCGTCAGCAAAGAATTTGAAGATAAGATGGACATTTATTAGTCAAATGAATGTCAGAATCCTGACACATTTGATGGGGTCAGTTCTCTGATATTATTCAAAGGTCATTTGCTTTCTTACCGTGTTTCTTTAAGCAAAACACTCTGGATTTACTTTTTTTCTTTCTCCCTTCTTTAAAAATTCTAACAAGGCACTTATATTACAACAGGTGTTTTGTAATATTACACAAACATCCCTGAGGTAATATGGATAAATTCCCAGTGACACATGTCACAGAGAAACATAATACCATTTTTCCCCTTTTTAATCTTTGAGGCTTTGTTTTAATAATTCATAGAGACATTAACTTTTGAGGTGGATTTGAGAATCCTTTTTACTTAATACAATTTTGTTTGTGTTCTGAAAACCAAGGATATTGAAGTATTTATTCCCTGATGAATAGAGCATTGTGTTCCTGTATCTTTGTTTCCTCTGAGAACACCCTTTAACCTTCATACATTTTCTCAGGACTTGCTTCATGCATTTTCTCATGTGGGCTTGCTGCATATTGTTTCCTTTGAGAAATAATGTGATGTGGTCTGACAGATGTACTGTTATAATTTTCTTAACCACCTGGCTTCCTTCACCTGTTGTCATTTCCATGGTACACTTTTGACTGATTCTATAGAGAAGGCAATTTATAATTAATAGTAAAAGTGGCAGACCTAGAGTTTTAGCTCATATCTTCTGATTATAATAGAAAGTTTAGAGCAATAGTTGAGCAATTCTCAATCTGAGGGGCATTCGCCATGTCTGGAGACATTGTTTGTTTTCACATGGGGTTCAGGTCAGGGGCTACTGGCATTTAGTGAGTAAATCCAGGGATGTTGCTAAACATTCTACAATGCCCAGGATAGCCTTCCAGCTGCCAAACCCCATCCCATACACAGCCCTGCCAAAGAATTATTTGTTAATAGTATCTCTGTTGAGAAACTCTATTTTTAGAGTAATGGACTCCAATCGCATCTTACTTTGTGATTTTGGGAAAGTAACTTTATATATCAGAATCTGCTTTCTCATTAAAAACAAAACAACTGTAACCACTAAAAGACAAAATCACTCCTTCCTGGGCGGTTGTGAGAGATTAACATAAGAGCACTGAATCAAGTGCTGAACATATTGATGGATCTAACAAGCAAAATACAAACCAGGGCCATCCCACAGAGTTTAGGTGAGAGAGATTTCGGTGGTGACTTAGAGATGAATGTAAGAGATATTTAGGGGGAATCAGAAGAATAATTTTGAAAAGGGTCCAGGATGAATATAAGATTTCTGGCTTGGGTACCTGGGTTTGGGTGATGTCATTCAACAAGACAAGGAATTTCAAAGAAAAGGAAGCTCATAAGAAATTCATCTGTAAACATATCAAATTTGGGAAGTCTGTGGGACATGAGATTACAACCTAGATTTGGACACCTGGGAAGAAGCCAAAGGTTTGGGAATCAGGAACCCAAAGGCAGTAGTTGAGTCCATGAGAATGTATGAGATTTTCCAGCAAGAACATGTGGTGAAAAGGGCACAGATATCCAAGAAAACTGAGGTGGCACAATTAGAGGAAACTCACAAGAAGGGAAGGTGTAGGAGTATGGAGTCAAGGCTGAACTGCTCAAGAGCCCTAGTACAGGGAACAGTGTCACATGTCACAGAAAACTGAGAGTTAGATGTCCAGATGTGGTAATTGGTGGTAATGCTGACCTTAGTCAGAAGACTTCAGTGCAATGGTGAGTAGAAATACTAGGCTGAGGGAGTTGGGTAAGTAATAGTTGAGGGCATAGAGACAAAGGATTAAGGAAGATAGAGTGGTTGTCAGAAAGAGAAGGTATGGAGATTTCTCCCCACTAAAATTGAACAATACTTAAAGCATATTCATATGCTGAGAGGAAAAGGACAGTGGAGGTTGAAGTTACAGAATATAAAATAGGGAAAACTGATTGAGAATGGGATGTTGAGTTGAATAATTATTACGAGGCAAGAGAAAACAGAGCTTTCCCTCCAAACTGGGGAGTAAGGGGAAGTTGGACATGGCTGTAAGGAAGTCTGAAAGGGTTAGGAAGCGTAAATTCATGGAGGTTCATGTTGGAGATTCTTTTCAGTATAAAATTATTGCTAAGTCAGCTGTAGGTATGGAACAAAGGATTTAGGAACAGGTTTTGTTGTTGATAAGTGCCATTGAGTCTGTTCTGACTCATAGTAACCCTGCACAGGGTTTCTGGGGAGCAGCTGGTAGGGAACAATTCTTAAGGGTTGAGGAGGGACATTAATAAATTAGAAAAAGTAAGTAGGGACTACAACTCCAAAGATATGAAAGATATCTCAAGGTACCAGAGTCACTTTGGAATTTGTATCTAGTTTTTCCCAGACCAGTAACAAAGTCCATCCATCTATTGTTGTGAACAATAGTGACCCTGTGCACAACAGAACGAAGCACTGCATGGTCCGGCACCAACCTCACAATTGTCGCTACGTTTGAGCTGCTGTCACTGGGCCGATTCATTTCGTTGGGGGTCTTCCTCTTTTTCCCCGACCCTCCACTTTACCAAATATGATGTCTTTCTCCAGGGACTGATCCCTCTTGATAATATGTCCCAAGTATGAGAGACGAAGCCTGGCCACCCAGGCTACCAAGGAGCAGAGTATTCTGGCTGCATTTCCCTCAGCACAGATTGGTTTATTGTATTGACAGTTCATGGTGCTTTTAATATTCTCCTCTAACACCAGAATGCAAATGCAGCAATTCTTCTATGGTCTTCCTTATTCACTGCCTAACTTTCACATGCATATGAGGTTATTGAAAATATCAGGGCTTGGGTCAGGTTTTGCTCTTGAACACTTTAAAAAGGTCTTGTGTAGTAGATTTGCCTAATGCAATACGTCGTTTGATTTCTTGACTGCTGCTTCCATGAGTGTTGATGGTTGATCCGAGCAAGAGAAACCTTTGACAACTTCAGTCTTTTCATTGAGGTGAAACCCATACCGAAGGATGTGGTCTTTGATCTTCATCAGTATTTTAAATGCCCTTCGCTTTCAGCAAGCAAGGTTGTATCATGTGCATATCACAGGTTATTAATGAGTCTTCCTCCAATCCTGATGTCATGTTTTTCCTCATATAATCCAGCTCCTCAGATTATTAGCTCAGCATACAGATTGAATAAGTGTGGTGAAAGAATACAACACTGACGCACACCTTTCTTAATTTTAAACCATTTGGTGTTCCCTTGCTCTGCTCTTGATCTATGTACAGGTTCCTCATGAGTACAATTAAGTGTTCCGGAACACTCATTCTCCACAATGCTGTCCACAGTTTGTCATGATTCACACAATCAAAAGCCTTTAAACCATTTGGTGTTTGCTCCCTTGCTCTGCTCTTGGTCTATATACAGGTTCCTCATGAGTACAATTAAGCGTACTGGAACACTTACTCTCCACAACGCTGTCCATAGCTTGTTATGATTCACACAATCAAAAGCCTTTGAGTAGTCAATAAAGCACAGGCACACATCTTTCTGGTATTCTCTGCTTTTAGCCAAGATCCATCTGATGTCAGCAGTGATATCCCTCGTTCCACATCCTCTTCTGTATCCAGCTTGAACTTCTGGAAGTTCTCTTGTCAATGTAATAAAATTCATCCATCTATAGAGGAGAACAATAAACTAGAAAAATTTTGCCAACCACAGAATTGTTTAAGAATAAAATAGTGTATGTGTGAAGGATGGCCACCCAAATTCCAAACGAAAGTGGGCATGGGAGCAACTTTGTTTGTAGACTTGTTGTGTCATCTCCTTATATGAAACAAACATACCTTATGGGTCTTCTTGTTGTTGTTAAATCTTGTCAATTCTGACCCATAGTGACACTGTATAGGGTTTCCAAGGAGCAGCTTGTGAGATTGAACTGCCAAACTTGCAGTTCAAATGGCTTTGCAGTTTGGTGCATTAACCCACATTGCCAAACCAGGACTCCATCAGTCTTCTCAGAGAGATTTTAATCCATAGTTACAATAATGCAGAAATAATGCCATTTATCTTCCATGAATATTTACTGATTAGTACTGTTGAGTAAAGCCACAGAAATAGTGAAAGAGAAATCATGAGAAAATTCTTGTCTTTTGCAGAGTCTTTCTTGAACCTAAATCATGAGTTGGATGTTCCTCAGAGACCTCCTCAGTGGCGTGAATAAATATTCAACTGGAATTGGGCGGATATGGCTAGCTGTCGTATTCATCTTCCGTTTGCTGGTCTACATGTTAGCAGCTGAGAATGTGTGGAAAGATGAGGAGAAAGAGTTTGAGTGCAACAGTAGACGGCCTGGTTGTAAAAATGTGTGTTTTGACTACTTCTTCCCCATCTCCCAAGTTCGGTTTTGGGCCTTGCAGCTGATCATAGTCTCCACACCGTCACTTCTGGTGGTTCTATATGTAGCCTACTGTGAAGGTAGAGAGAAAAAGAACAGAAAGAAACTCTATGTCGGCCCCGGTGTGATGGATGGGGGCCTGTGGTACACTTACTTTTTCAGTATCATTGTTAAAATTGTTTTTGAAATTGGCTTTCTGGTTTTATTTTATAAGCTGTATGGTGGCTTTAGTGTTCCTTACTTCATGAAGTGTGAGCTGAAGCCTTGCCCCAACACTGTGGACTGCTTCACTTCCAGACCCACGGAGAAAACGATCTTCATCCTTTTCTTGGTCATTACCTCATGCCTATGCATAGTGTTGAATTTTATTGAATTGAGCTTTCTAGTTCTCAGGTGCGTTGCTAAGTGCTGTCTCCAACAATCCTCTAAAAAATGCAGGTCCTCAGTGTGTGAGTATCACAACTTCAGAAACGTCAAATGTGGTGAGATAGGGGGCCCTCCCTTACTCCAGGACCACAATTCAGACTCATAAACACTACCCACAAAGCAAAGCTTCTCTGTGATACCTAACAGCCAGTGGCATCAATCTGCACAGGTCAACACTGACAAAGAGAGTGACACCCAAATGACTGTCCATAAAATTTTTTGCAGTATGTCAGCAGAATTTCATTTTTTAAATAAAAATGATCCCTATTAGTTATAGCGATAAAACCATTTTTTGTAAGCCCATCCTGCCCATATCAGTGTACTTACAAGAGTCTCAGTGTGGCACTGTAGGATAAGCACTGGACTGCAAGGTCAGTTTGAACCAACCAGTCGACAGTTCGAGCTCACCAGTCACTCCTCGGTAACCCTACACAGGGTTGATTTGAGTTGGAACTGACCAGAAAACAGTTAACAACAACAACGTGCTCCAGTCAAAACTGTCATTAGTACCCAATTACAACCGAATGCAATCATCTGTATGCTATGCAAGCACATGCTCTTGTTTTCATTGGTGCCTGTGTTTACAGCAGCTGATTTTGTCAGAGTTTCTGGTGTCTTAGCTACAATATCTGGTAGTCAGTATCTGTGGACATATATCAATTCCTTTTTTGAGAATGCAGTAGTAATTACAGGAAAAAGAAAACTCAAACAAGGTTTGCACTGTTACTAATAATGTATGCCATTCACTGTTGTTGTGATTGTTAGTGTTTATATAATCTAAGAACTATTACATTTAAGCATGTATTTACAATGACATTACATTGTTCTGTGATTAAAATTGATAGTAAACATTACTAAGGATTCTGTGTGGTCTGGTATGGGAGGAGGTCCATGGGGGCAGTCAGTGGGGTGGGGGTAGGAGTAGCACCATAAATTACCTAACTGGGTGACACCAACTCTAGTGATCACAGAGTTAAAGAAAACTACTACACTTCCATGCACGCCCTAAACTAGGTTGGAAAACCAAAGATGTCATTACTGGGGTTGGGGGTGGGGGTTGCAATATATTCTCAGTTGTTAACACTAGATATGTCTCCTTGTCTCATAGGGTTCTCCAATGCATAGTTATAGGAGTTGTGTTTGAATAGTTAGTTGAAAATTAGTCTGAAGAAATTCAACACACAGCAGCACTCTTGTAAGTTCTTAGGTCTGTCAACTGGAAACTATAAAGTGACACTGCTGACAAATGTTAATGACTTCCACACTGCAGTCAAGGTGCTAGCGATTTCCCCAAAGTGTCCGCCACAGCTCCACTTACTCAGTTCCAATATTCTGTACAGGAAAACCATGGGGCCAGCTTGGGTAGCAGTGACCTAGAGGCACACAGGAGCACATCCATTGAACAGGCCCAAGCTGGGGAAAAAGGCAGACTCAGGACTCCTGGCAGTCTATGTATCCCTGATATGAGTGGCTAGCAGAAAGGGAAGCCTGGATTTTAGTGCTCTCCAAGTACAGATATTGAGAGATAACTTCTGAAATGATCACTCAAGAGTCATGAAGGAAGACAGGTCCCACAGAAAGAGGAAGTTGATAGGCGCATTAATTCTCCATAAAAAGAATTTGTCCACCTGAAAATTACAAACACTTGGAACTATATGGATGTTGATATACTTTGTAAATCCCCATATTGTTGGACCTTTTTATTATCAGGAATTTACAGTGTACTATATGAAAGTGCCATGGGCTGCCAAAAGAACCAATAGATCCTTTTTGGAAGAAGTGCAGCCAGAGTGCTCCTTGGAGGCTAAGATGGCCAAACTTCATCTCTCATACTTCAGACATATTGTCAGGAGGGACCAGTCACTGGAGAAGAACATCATGTTTGGTAAGGTGGAAGGTCAGAGAAAAAGAGGAAGACCCCCAACGAGATGCATTGGCCAAGTGGCAGCATCGATGGACTCAAGCGTGGCAGCAGTAGTGAGGTTGGCCCAGGATCAGGCAGTGTTTTGTTCTGCTGTGCGTGGGGTCGCTATGAGTTGGTACCGACTTGATGGCACCTAACAACAACAACAAATATGTCAAGCAGTTCTGGTAGCATAGTGGTTATGAGTCAGGCTGCTAATCTCAAGGTCAGCGGTTCGAAACTACCAGTGGTTCTGCGGGAGAAAGATGAGGCTTTCTGCTCCTGTTAAGATTTACAGCCTTGGAAACCCTATACAGGGTTGCTATAGGTTGGAAACGACGCGATGGCACTTAACAACAACAACAACATATGTCAGAGTCTGCCTACCATTCACTCACATCTCCCCTTAGAAAAGATAATAAAACTATACTGTTATATTGATGAAAAATAAATAAAAAGAGAAAACAAGACATTAGTTAGTATTTACTTTAAAGACTATTGCTTTTGTCTCCTTTTTTATTTAAAAAAAAAAAAATCACAGGTATACTCTTTGGACTTAATGTTCTAATGTAGGTGCATTTCTCCAGAGTAAAAATAAAGTGGTTTTGCAGCTGTGTGGCTGTCACTGGTCTATTCGGCTGCCTTGGGTATGTATGATTATTCTGTTAAATAAAACTTGTTCTGACAATTTCAGAACAAGATTTGCGACATGACTAGGTTAGTAGCGCTCAGAAATTATACTTCTCCAGTGGGAATATTCTAATGGAAAGCCAGTGCATAAAAAATGTAATTTTAAGTGAAAAAACCAATCAGATCATGTCTGTCATGCCCTGTCCTCTTCAGAATAGAATGTCTCATTACAGTTCAAGCATAATGAAGGTTATTTGGGTCATTATGTAGTCTACAGACCATGTCAACAACAGTAGGCATAATTCTTACCTCAAAGACAAGGGTGAATGGTGTGATTTTCTCTCCTCCAATTTATATCATAGGCCTTTGCTAGGTTGAAGAGTCGACACACCTACGTACATTACTATACAGCATGAAAACATCAAGTTTCCATAAATGTAGGTAATCACTGAAAGACTTATTAAAAGGGACTTTAATTTTTTTCTCTGAAAGTAATAGGTGGTTATAGTTTGGGTTTTAACAAAGAATCTAGAAAATCAGCTTTTTAGTGGGCAGAGCTGGAATGGAGAAGAGACATCTTCAGTCTGAGGAGAAGTTTGCTGCCAAACATTTTTTCCTTGAAGGACCTGAGCCTCATCATATCAGTTATGACAATCCCTCCCCCAGGAAAATTTTGGTTGCTTGAATTTATGCATTTCTTGTTTTTCAGAGGGGAAACTGAAAGGTACTATGAACAAGGAAAATGCAAATGAAATTGACTAAATATAAAAGCGAAAGACTTCCTTCTCTTTGAAGAATGTTGGTAGAATTTCAGCTTCCAATTTACAAAATGAGTTTCCTACAAAGGGCATTCTGAAACCATGGCCTTGGTGTTAGTGAAGATCCGTAACATTTGACTGAGAGAAACTAGCAGTTAAATGTTGCCATCTTTGATTCTGTTTTTCTTAATAAAAAATTAATAGTGAGCACTGGGGAGCAGACAGTGCCTATGTACCTTGTAAAATAAAGGCAATCCCTGTCTCGAGAAAATTTCCATGTAAGGAGTGTGTGGTGAAGACTGTGTGGAGTGTCTAATACCTTTGACCTGCATCTACATGCCTCAACTCAACTGATTCACCCAGCAGCCTTCCACAGAGTCCTGATGTGGAAGGTGCTATAGGATAAGCATTAGACCGTTAACTGCAAGGTTGGCAGTTCAAAGCCACCAGCCACTCCTCAGAAATCCTATGTTGTTGTTATGTGCTGTGGAGTCGGTTCCGACTCATAGAGACCCTGTAAAGGGTTTCCGAGGCTGTAAATCTTTATGGGTGCAAAAAGCCTCGTCTTTCTCCCGTGAAACAGATGGTAGTTTTGAACTGCTGACCCTGAGGTTAGCAGCACGATTCATAATCACTCCGCTACCAGAGCTCCTATGTTGTTGTTGTTGTTAAGTGCCGTCGAGTCGGTTGCGACCCATAGCGACCCTGCACAGGGTTTCCGAGGCTGTAAATCTTTATGGGAGCAGAAAGCCTCATCTTTCTCCCACGAAGCAGTTTGCGATTCGCAGCCCGATTCGTAACCACTACACTACCAGAGCTCCTATACAGGATGGTTATAAATTGGAACCATCGCAACTGCACTTAACAACTGCCACACAGGCTTCCATGGCTCACAAAGCAGTTACCTTAGAGACATGAAAGTGAAACCTGAATAGGCAGCCAACTTTTCCAAGGACATACAGCAATCAATCTCCCACCACATCAGGTTTCCCAGATTACTAAACAGACCTCTCCCTAAATTAATTCAAGTCATTCCCGGCTGGATGTGATTATTTTGAGTGTTCAGCCACAATCTTCCTGGTTACAGGTCTTGCTTCTGGCCGCTGGGCTTCTGATTGAAGCTGGAGGGCAAAGTCTGTTCAATTGTTCACAAAAAAGTTATCTAGACCAGCAAGTGTCTCCAGTCTTCCTAAGGAAATGAGCTAATCCAGAGGGACCACCAAAATAAAGGGGAGGAGAAAAAGGCAAAGGCCTGCGGATGTCTGAATTCCTTAATCCTGTTGTCCTTTGAGAAGGACGCTAGTCCTACCCTTTTTGTCCTACCCTTTTTGCTTTAGTTACACAAAAGACTAGCTGCTGCCAGAGTCAACTCTGACTCAAGGAAACTCCATGTGTATCAGAGAAGACCTCTGCTCTAGAGGTTATAGTTTTGGAAAATGATTGTCAGGTCCTTTTCCATGCTGTGTCTGGATGTACTTGAACCTCTGGTTAGTAGCTGAGCTCATAAACTGTTTGCCTCACTCAAAGACTCCAACATCAAAGATAAATTCCTCTATTTTGCTTACACTGATTCAGATTGGATTTCTGTATCTTGCAACTGAAAGGGCTCTAATAATTGCACCTTCTTCATAAATGTCTTTCTTGACTAACACGGAAGAAAGGTCTGGTGATCTGATCTGACAAAGACTACAGACCAGAAAACCCAGCAGGTTTTGGTAGAACACTTTTCTTGTACACATCCTTTCTAACATCGAGACTTCTGATCTGTATATGTGGCCACACATAGAATGTTTGTGTCAATGGGGAAAGATGTGG